TATTCAAGATTCAAAGAGGTCAATGTGAAGTTCTCGTAGTTAATGTTATTTCCTCCTTTAATCTAAGTTCATTATATTCAAGATCCGAAGAGACCAGTATAATTAAGTTACAATGAAATGAGCAAATTAATACCATTGATTTAAAATCAATAACATCCTACGCCTACTTGAAATTATTAGAGCTGCTTCCAACTTCAGGCTCGGCGTATCTAAAAAAAAAATTTTAAAAGAAAAGAACTTAAAGTATATCAGATATGTCGCATAATAAATTTTCTTATAGTAGTAACACTATAAGGTACAGTAGGTACCAGTACCTGATACGTACTGTAATTTGTTTAACCTTGGCTTCTTTGGGTCTTCTGTATACTGTTCGACTTTAGTTAATAAAGCTTCGCGCAACTTTCGTAAAGAGCATGAGGACTTTCTCATTTTTCGGAAAAACACGAGGATTATTATAAGGTAGTTAACCAACAATAAACTGGCTTTTTTAACACGTGATATCATTTTTGTCAAAACAGATAGATAATCGTTAAACAACCAACGGGCTTTATTCATATATTAAAATTTCTTCGAAATAAAATAACCCACATTGTAAAAGAATCCAACTATTAATTCACACACTAATAGCAATTTTACAGTTTTAAAAAATTTATTTAAAAGGAGCATGGAAGACATTCGAACCCGATGATTTTCGGGATCTATGTTACACAAGTATTTATACAGAATTGTAGTCTAAAACCAGAATTTTCGGGTATAAGCAAACCTAAAAAAAAAAATCAATCATATAATACTTTACTAATAAAATAGCTTTGTAGGGAACGTCTTTTCAATAAACTCAAGTTGCATCATTTGCATCACGCTGCATCACAGTAGTTATAGTGAAGGTTGAAGTACTATCTACCGTATAGTAAGATGTAATAAAAGTATATTGTACTGCTCAATTCACAAAGTTTTTTTTTATTTTTATTTGTTTTTTAGTTATAATATTAACTTGTTAGCTTTTATTTTCAAAATTTGTAGACTCTTCTTAAAGTCATGATGGTTCTTAAAAGATATTTAACACAATAGAAGTTATTTAATATATACAATAGTATAGTTTTATTAATTACGCGGGGTTTTAAGAAAAACTATTAAGGGACGTGTAACTTGTTATCAAAACCTTTTAAATAAAGTTTTTAAAACTGTAAAATTGCTATTAGTGCGTGAATTAATAGTTGGATTCTTTTACAACGTGGGTTATTTTATTTTGAAGAAAATTTTAATATATGAATAAAGCCCGTTGGTTGTTTAACGATTATCTATCTGTTTTGACAAAAATGATATCATGTGTTAAAAAAGCCAGTTTATTATTGGTTAACTACCTTACAATAATCCTGTGTTTTTCCGAAAAATGAGAAAGTCCCCCATGCTTTTAAAAGGTTTTGATAACAAGTTACACGTCCCTTAATAGTTTTTCTTAAAAACCCGCGTAATTAATCAAACTATACTATGTATATATTAAATAACTTCCATTGTGCTAAATATCTTTTAAGAACCATCATAACTTTAAGAATAGTCTACAAAATTTGAAAATAAAAGCTAACAAGTTAATATTATAACTAAAAAACAAATAAAAATACAAAAAACAACGTTGAACTTTGTGAATTGAGCAGTACAATATACTTTTATTACCTCTTACTATACGGTAGATAGTACTTTAACCTTCACTATAACTATCGTGATGCAGCATGATGCAAATGATGCAACTTGAGTTTATTGAAAAGACGTTCCCTACAAAGCTATTTTATTAGTAAAATATTACATGATTGATTTTTTTTTTTAGGTTTGCTTGTACCCGAAAATTCTGGTTTTAGACTACAATTCTGTATAAATACTTGTGTAATGTAGATCCCAGAAATCATCGGGTTCAAATGTCTCTCATGCTTTCGTAAAGATCATTGCCTTTATTATGTATTACGATCCCGTGACTGCATATTATATAAAAAAAAAATGATGATGTAATGATCATCATGAGACATGTTTTATCTAAGTAAAATTATACTTAGTCGGTTTGCTGGAATTGAACGGGAAGTCCCTCAATAGCGGGCAATCTAACTAGTACTCATCGAACTTGATGAGGGCCCCGCTCTACCTACACTAACGATCACCAATTTTTTTTATTTTTTATGTATTTATATTCGAAATTTACCGCTACGCTCTGGCCAATAATAAAAAACATATAAAGGTACCTGGCTTTAACGCACGTTACACCTGATCTTCAAATTTAATTGGTAGATCGTTAGCCTACTGTGAACAAGTCCTGCTAATTTTAATAATTTTATCATTAATAATGTAATTTTGTATTATATGATTATTTAATAAATATCAAATTTAAACATTACAGTATTCCATTTTTTAAGAAATTGTTTTAGAATAGTAATTTTTCTAGAGTAGCAATTCTATGTATATATTAAGCAGTGATGTTATTTGGACTGTTTGAACCAGTATTGGAAATTCAAAAAAAAAAATTATTGTTGTGAACATATATATTTTTTTTGCTATGTTCATATTAAAAAAATAAATGATTACAAATAAAGTTTTATTAATTAGATAAAAAATTACTTATGTTCACAAGTGTGAACATAAAATAAAAAAAAAACTTTGATTTTTTTTAAAGAATTTATGCTCTTGTGAACGCTGAGAATGTAATTTCCAACACTAGTTTAAACATATTTTGGACATATTTTGGACAGCTTTCGATATGTTTAAAACCTTGTTCAAAACTGTCAAAACTAACAAAAATTGTCCAAATAACATCATTATATTAAGTGGGGATGGTAAATGACCTGATCATCTGCCAATTTTTCAAATGACCTCAATTGACTTCAAATGACCGGTCATTTGAGGTCTTCGAATTTTGGGTCTTTGGAAATGACCCAAATGACCGGGGTCATTTGGTCATTAGGTCATTTTACAATCACTCGATTATTAATGACATGCCATTTGTAAATTCGAAAATGATTTATGTAATTTTTGTAATCGGTAAATTATTATTCACGAACTTTTTTAAAGTAAATACATTATCTTTTGTCTGGTGTTTTTCTTAATCACTTTATACCTGATATGATTCAATTGAATTGTCGCTTTACAACAGGTATGGTAAATGACTTAGTTATTTGCCAAAATACAAATGGCACTCATTTATCGAATAAAGATTGGATTGTTAGCAATTTATCACGTGTAATAAGCATCTCGTTTTACAGAGAACAATAGTCAATTATGATTGGCTAAAGTTATTAGATAATCAATTAACCAGAGTTAAATGACCTTCTTAAGTCATTTGAGCTGTGAAATGACCAATGACAGGTCATTTATCATTTGAGTCATTTGGGTCATTTAAAGTCATTTACCATCCCTGGTATTAATGGCATGCCTCAAGACTAATTTCAAAACGTTTACCGGTATGGTACAAAATTATCTAGTTTCCCAACAAGTTATCCAAGTCATGTTCTATAATCATGTGATTAATAATGTTATACAAAATCACGAGTGCTAAGAATTCTATACATATTACTTATACATATATCATATATATTTTTTATTATGTATTTAGTCCTCTTATAACTATTAGATATATTATATTTTTGTATACAATATATAATATATAGTATAATATATATCTATCAATTATAGGAAAGCCAGGTCCATCACTAGATTTTCCGTTGCATACGACCAATCAAAATCGCAAATTTTTTGTCGAAGTAAAAAAAATAAAAAGTGCGACAAATACAAGAAACGAATGTCCTGTCCTGGTACATTAAGAAAAAATGTCGAAGGGACGATTTTACCTATAAGAACCTTCTCATCTTAGCTTATACGGGTCTTAAACTGACCCTAACCTTAACGTTAATTAAATTTCATTAAAAGAGAGAATTGTGTTGACATACACTATAACTCTATATTGGAAAACACATGTTATACGACTAGTTGTATCTTCATATAAATTTCACGAATCTAGCATGACCAACAACCCTAGCTATATATGCCGTAGAAATTAGTTGCGGCTGCGTCGAAAGTATTTAGGCAAGCAATAATTTATGCCACAATCCGAAGCAAAAGTCGAAATCCAAAATTTATGCCATAACCTAAATTAATTGCCGCAATTTTGTCTTATAATAATTTATAGCTACTGTAGTAGTGTAGTTATGTAGTTATGTAATTTATACGTAACAATTATTAATCATACTTTCGTTATAACATGCATATATGAATTACAATAAAAAAGCAATTTATAATTATTTCTTATTTATTATTATGAAATCCATTTTTATTTACTTATTTAAAAAATTCTCAAAATCTCTAAATTATTCACCAAGCGTTAACAGTAATCCATATTACCAGTCTTTAAATTTGTCTTCAACAAATTTATAATTAATGCCATCTAGAGGTTGATTTCTCGCGAATACAATTCCAAGAAATTTTTATTTAACATCACTACTAATTGCCGTACATTCATATCTAAATGATCTTCTAAATCTTTCGGCTTCCCACATACCCAAGGTTAATGTTATCTGCTGGAAGCCATCGAAAGCACACTAGAAGTAAAATTAATACAGTAATAGTATTACTGGAACGTTTACGCCACTGGAAGGCCAAAAATTTCTCACTGGAAGGAAAATTAACAACACTGCCCAAGGTTTATCACATTTGCACTTTTGCACCACAATGCCCACAATTTTCTTTTTGGATATATTTCTGTTGCATCTAAAGTAGCGCCTGCCTAAAATTAAGCCCCTGAAATTAGTTCTTCATGCATACATTAAATCGTAATTTTAGCCAGGACGTTACTTTAGATATATAAAGTTACTTTAGATAAATCGTTACTTTACCAACATTTCCACACTTCTTTTAGTGGTCGTCCAGCTGTATTTTTAGATGACATACTTGCACATTTGTTATGAATTAAAGATAATAAAAAAATTTATATTGTAAATTGAATTATTTAAATAAATATACAGTAATGGGCTGTATCTCAATTGGTAGAGCAGCGCATTTGCGTTTGCAATGCGTGTGTTGGGGATCGAGTCCCCTCAGCCTCACTAAATAAATATACAGTTTTTTCTATATCACTTTAACATCATTAGAGTACCCTAGCTAGGGTGTCAGGGTTATGCGATGCGATGAGGTAAATTATGCGGTTGATTATGTGATGGATGCGAAATAAAAATTATGCGATCGATTATGCGATTTTTATTATTGTACGCTATATGTAATTAGTTCTATTCTTCGGAATTTTTCGGACATTTACCGAAAATTTTATCTCAATCTTAAGTTCATTCATTTTCTACTTTTCGTAGGATCGGTCACGTGATAAACAAAACCTTTAGTTTATTTAGATTAGGGTTAGTGCTTATATTAAGATTTTGAACTAATATTATATATAGTAAAATCACTCGTGGAATATTTTTTTTGTTAGTGCGCAGAAGGTCATTTCTTATGAAGATTTCAATAAATAAGCGATTTTCTTCTAATTTCCTTTAAAACCAATGAATTTTTCTGATCGTTATTGGCCTTTCAATGCAGATCGAACATGGTTAGGGTTTTTAACATCATTATATATCAAAATTTTGAATTTAGGCATTGACCACCAAGATCAGTAATCGGTATTTAAAATTTTGATTGCAGAATTTGACGAAAATATAATTGACGAAGAATAAAAAGTGAATTCAAACAAAATTCTACTAATGAATATATATATCTAATAATTTTTATGTAAGACAAATAATTTATTATTGTACCTTGTGAAGATTTTTTTTTAACTTTTTTGCAATATATAATTCAGTTTCAGACACTAGCATATGTCTCATCCACTTTAGCTATATTAGATTTGTTGGACATTTACATAACTGATAATCAATTGGTGTTAATGTATGAATTACTCAGTTTCTATAATATGAGAATAATGTTGAATCTAAATTATTAGATTTTTAATTACAGTATTAGTGAATTAATAAATATAACAACTTTGCAATAAATACAGTAATTATACTTTTCGAAGAGATCCTTCATAAAAAATTCTGTTTATTAAAAAATGTTATGAATGATGCTAAAGTTAGATGCTAAAATTTAGTACGATCTTTAAATTTTATTTTTTTGGCTTTTCTTTAGGGATTGGTTAAGATTTAGGGATAAATTTTTTAGAAAGAATATCCTCAGATTCAGCATCATTTGCGACAAAAAATAAGAATGAGCACATATTTACTACCTATTATCTATTGTATGCTTTTGTTTTTTTGATATCATATATAAAAGACTTTTCTTCCTTTTTAAAGCCACTACACCCAAAATCAATGGCATTTCCTTGCATTTAACTATTACTTTCTCATTTTGCTTTCTATGCTTCCTTTTCGGTTTTTATTTACGCGATTTAAATATTTAATATAGATCTTGTTATTAGCTTAAAATAAAATTGGTTTTAGATGTACAGCAGAATGAACAAAAATTTGATATTTAGACATGTAAAAAAAAAAATCAGGTTTCTTTTTTTCAGATTAATTATTAATACGTACAAGTATTAACATATCATTTGAAACCCTGTAAATACGTACGTATTGGCTATGCTAGGTTTGTGTAGCATGAAGGAGTCACCAAAAATTTGATTAAATATATGATTCAATGTATTACCGTAGTCGTTTATGACCTGTATGATAATGTTTTATAACATAGTATGTAACAAAATAAAATTTAATTAATAGAAGTTGATTATTTAACCAATCGAATTCAAAATATTGAAGAAAAAGGCACATGAAAAGATTTTAATATAATTATAAGTCTTTAGAAAAGTTTGATAGATTTATTTTACAGTATATATATTATATTTTTAGAATATTCAATTTAGGTTCCCCGAAGTTCATATTATCCATTAATTGAAGAAGCTGAAAAAAATCATATGGAAGAAAATTCGCATATCACCTGATAATACACAACTTACTATAATAATTATTCTTGAAAATGATAATATTGCAAAAGATAATGAATAGAAATTATCGACCAATACAAAAGAATTCTTTATGATATAGCTTATTTATTATTTTTATCGAATCAATTATATAGCTAATATAGGAACTTGAACTTCTTGGTCTTTTGCGGCAAAAGAAATTGTTGGAACATTAAATAAGAAAAGATAGATGCATAAAAAACCTGAACCAAGCAAAAAATCCTAGCATATGAACGAAACAAAAAAAAAACTTTTTATTGTAATAAGTTTGAAATTTCATGTTATAGTATGTAATAAAATTTAAAGTTCAAATAATTTCGAATGAACATGCCTTTTCTTTTTTACGCATTAAAAATTTTTATCCGGCACGCTCATGATCATGAAATGATTTCTTGTTATTTTTAATGTAAACATGGTTATTAAATTAAACTCAGCCGATAGCTCCCTACGAATCATGATCATAAGCACCAATACTGAGCAAATTGTCGAATACAGTAATTTGGAGGTCAACTGTGTAAATCAAAACTATATGTAGACACATATAAAAATTAATTATTAAAATTTTTTTTATAAATTTAGTGATTAGAATAGTGATTTGGATTATTTATCATCTTATATATATATATATATTAATATTAAAGCAAGTTTTTATATGTCTAAAGTGAATCACTTTACTTTTTTGAATTATTTTAAAATAAATCTATTCTTAAAACGTTTACTGCAAAGTTATGTTGAAAAATTTTAACGTTAATATTAAATTTCAAGTTGACTCTTTGCAAAAACTCTGTGCTTTATATTGAAAACTTTTCAAAGAGAGATAATTTTGTTACAAATAAAAATTTAATACCGTATAGCCGTAGAATAACGCCCATCTGCGCGTTAATTAATTGGCCTGCGCGTCATTTCGAGTACGCCCATGTGCGTTATTTCGAAATAAGGGTTGATTTTTTGAATCGTACCCACTTAATTGTAATAAGAATAAAAAAATGTGCCGGAAATAGGTAGGCACTAAGTAAATCTACTTGCTTCAATGTGAGGAAAAATTTTTATTATGCTCGGAAGTAGTTTACTTAGTACCGAATCTAATTCCGAGTACATTTTGGTTTCTTTACTTTTCATGTAGAGCATATTGAAATGTGCGTTAATTCGGAAGGCCCATGGTCGCTAATTCGAGATCGCATATGCTATTTTAGGGGGTTTTGATTTTCGAAATAACGCCCATGAGCGTTATTCCGCGGCTATACGGTACTAAACCATAAAATTTTTTAACGTAACTTTGTTTAAAACGCGTTTGAGAATAGATTTGTGTTAAAATCATGCAAAAAAGTAAAGCGGTTCATTCTAAACATCTAAAACATGCAAGACATTTTTTACGATTAAACTATGTATATAAAATGATAAATAATCTTGATCACTAAAATTGATAACAGATAAAAAAGATTTACATAGCTGATCGCACCCCCAACGTGCCGTGGAGCGGCACACTAGCGGCACGTGTTCATTTGCCAAATTACCAAAATTACCGTTATGTATTGTATACTTTTTAAATTAAAGTTTTAAAATATTTCGTTAACCTACAAGATCAGATTTAGATCAGCGATTACGTAACTGATTTTGGCGATCATGCTAGGGGTTTAACCGCAGCCTTTATCGTAATTGTAAATCACCACAAACCATCTGTAACGCGTAACTGCAATAAACCTATATCTAGATATATATATTTTATTTTAGCATATATACACGGGCATTATAGTAAAACGTACACAATATCCGTAAAGCAAACTAAGTATCCCTATAAACTTTTAATAGATTGTTTGAGTGTAACAGTATGACATATCCACTCTATATGGACTACCATAAGAACTATTTCCGTAGAACTATTTAGATTTTTTTTAATATAGAGATGTTCTCAAACATCTAAATCAATTAATTGAATAATGAAATGAGTATGATGATGCTCAAGCATCACAATCAATGACAATATTTATAGAATTAAATACTTGAGCGTATTCTTTTTTTTTTTTTTTTATTCCATCTAAAACATTTAACAAATTAAATAAGGAAAATTCTATTCAATAGACTACCAAAGCTTCAACTTCAGTTGTGTCTGCTTTTTTTTTAATGATTTTATATCAATTTATTTATTTATTATTATTATTATTATTATTGTTATTATTTGCGAATGAACAAAGAATGGAATAATAGTATTTATTATTTGGTCAATTGTTAAAAAATGAGTTGTATTTACTACATTTGTATCAAGGTATCGATTCGTTTTAAAAGCTTTTATCATTAAAAATAAAATAACAATTTTATCGGGTCGGTTAGAAATTGTTGAGAATTCAGTATTCATTATATTTGATATGTAAAAAATGTAAACTAGTGCTTGAACGACCTTTATCATACCTCGCTGATTTATTTCATTGAAATGGTGCCTACCTCATTTGATTCTTCCGACCAATTAAAATTTTGCCTCCGATCAATTTATGAGGTACTTGAGAACATCCATAGTCAAACATCTTTATTTCAATTGTCCATTTCTTCTATTTGACATCAAAATTTCTGAAGTATTTATATCTGTTACAATTTACACATTTTCCACACCCTTTATTTCTCATACCGTAAAATCAAATACAGTACTAGCATATACTCATTTGTTACAGCATCTTAGGTTATTCCATATATCTTAACTGTTATTTTCATAAATTCTGAGACAAAAAAATAAAAATTTAACTGATAATCATTCGAGAAACTTCGATTCTGGCACGATCGATATGATATCTTATTTCTTCTTGTATATTTATGTAAAGGATTGACGTTATAGATGCCCGATAATTCCCTTAAATAGATGAATAAAAGTATAATAACGCAACTGTATTTAGTTTCTTTAGAAAAAATTACATTTAAATCTGGCATTATTTTTTATATATTTGATATCCATCACTTATCCTTTTCTTTGCATCATCTATTATTTTTCATTATTACTGTATGTAGGCAAGACATATTTAGCGTTTATAGACCCATTTTTACTGAAACTAGAATTTATTAGAATAGCTGTAACAGCATAAGTTTTATAATGTAAATATAATTTATATAATGCCT